GAAGTCTTTTATGGAAATTGTCTAGTTACACATGCCCAAGCTGAATATAAATTGCATCTAGCAGCCCCAAGAGCATAGCTGTTGTGCTCATTGTTTTGTGTGGCAAAATGACTGTTTCATTGCAGGAGGATGAGCTAATCCAGTCTGAGAACTCTGCCTCGATCTTCAACACGCTCTCGGACATCCCCAGTCAGATTGAAGATGCAGATGTGCTGCTGCGGGAGGCCATGCGCGTGGCTGGCTCGCTGACAGATGTGGCGGTGGAGACACAGCGCCGCAAACACTTGGCCTACCTCATTGCTGACCAAGGGCAGCTGCTCAACTCCAGCACCACTGTCAACAATTTGTCCAAAGTGAGTGCTGCTCCATTCCTTTATGTATTCCTTACCATTCCTTTATGTATTCCCTCCCAGTTGCTGTTTGTGAGCATGTAGTCCTCCTGTATGAGAGGATTATGGCTCCAGGACAACTGTCATCCAGAGGAGAAAAGGAAGGTCTGTCCTAATGAAATGCTGCCAGAGCTGTACTGGTTGATAAATCCTCAGGTGAAAGGGATATTGATGTTGATTGTAATTATCATTAATGAGAGTTATGATGAAATGTGATGCGTTTCATTAGTGGAAACTAAAAGAAACAACATATGCTTCTGGCAGAATTCGTTTGGAGCACACAGAGCAGAGTAGGAACTGGAGTTAATCCATTAGTAAGAATCTGGTACACTAAAATAATTCTGGGAGGCAGAGTCAGAAAACAGCATGAGAAGCTGAATAAAAAATGCGCTTGTCTTTAATCTTGGACTACAGTCTGCAGTTACAGATGATGTAGCTCCTGTTTATCAAGCCTGTATGGAAGATGTATTCTTGATGGTCATCTGTGTGCTCATCACAAGACACTCCTGCAATTCTAAAATGTAATGGACAGCCACTTAGAAATTTATATGTAATTACATGTGGAACTGGTTTTGGCAACAAGTACAATTAGATTATTTACTCAAATCATGGTTGATTCTTGAACTTCAATTATGCTTCTGTAATAATCGAGCTATAAATAACCTATTGCACATGGAGCAGATCAAGCAGTAGAGGTGATTCATTGCATCAGAACAAGAACAACTCATGTCTAAAATTGCTAGTTCACTTGCCCTCCCCCATGCAGTGGTAGCTGTCAGGACCCCTTGCCCAGAGCTGCCCAGTGTGGAGGGTTGCTTTGGTTTTTTTCTGAGATCTATCCTAATGTGTGTGCTTTGTTCTCTCTCTTCCCTCTCCCTCAGATTGTGCGTCGCAGAACTCAGCGCAGGAAATCTGGCATCACCTCTCTGCTTTTCGGTAAGGATAATCCTGTGCCTGTCATGTGGTGTTGATGTGTGTAGCAGTCTAGGAAGGAAGAGAGCAAAGCAGGAAACGCTGGGATAGAGGAAGAGGGTAGAAGGGAGCCAGAACTGAAGGATGGGAGGGAAGAAGTGCAGTTTTCTAGGTGCTTGCTTTGGTCTGAGCTCAGAAAGTAAATTTTCGGTTAGATGGTTAGTCCTTGATTAACAGTGGGCTGCAGCTCAGCCCAGCTGTAATGTCCTTCTTGCACTGACCAACAGGTCAGACCCGTATTCTGTCATACTGTATGCAGTCCACAGGCTGGAAGTTGTTCTCTCCTGATCTTACTCTGCTCAATTCTGGAGCATCTCTGAAGATCTGAGACAGGGCAAGACGGTCCAGTGTGTCACCATCAAAATTTATAAATGCAAACATCACTGGTGTTCCCCTTACTTACAATGTTGTGAACACTTTTGAGGCTTAATTTTCTTTGCTTATGAGCTAAGCTGGCATATGTCCAGAACGCACAAAGCCAGAATAGGTTTTGAATGGATTTAACAGTAACTTGCTTCTTTGACTCCACAATAGCCCTTTCTATTGTAAGCCTCATTGTCATCACCTTCCTTGCAACTGGTTAGTGTTCTTGAAATTACCACATCTTACCACAGAAATTGTTTTTCCGGAGGCAGACACCATGCTGAATTTGCATGGTTCAAACAGTGTTCCTGTGGTGGTTGAAATAGCCTGACTAAATCTAAAACTTTGGTTTACTGGTATTTTCAGAGAAGAGCTTTTCTGATGTTCTCCAGGAAGGTGATGTATTGTCACAGGCTTGCTATAAGCACATAAAAAGTTATGGTAGAAGACCAATGATGCTGTAAAGTGAAGCTGCAGAAGTGAAGAAATGTGGGAAAGTTGCTTGTGCGACCTCAACTCAGACCTCTTGTCTGTAATGTACAGTTCAGACTGAACCAGCAGGGAACTGAGCTGTCAAATGCATCTTCCTTGTGTTTCAGCTAGTCTCCTTGACCAAGTTTGAGTAGTTTTATGAAGGTGATAGTGAGTTATGCCACACACAAAGAAAAATTTAAGTTCAAGCTTCAGAATTTATCAGTGGTAGATGTGAGATGATTGATAGTGTTTTCTCATTTTAGTGGGGTTTCTGTACAGTGACCATCATTTTTTTTACATAGTATTATTCTTAGTATTTAAAGTGTTAGTTAAAATAGAGAAGTTGTCATCCTGCAGCAGATAACCAGAATGGAAAACTTCAGCCTAAAAAAGAGGAAAAAAAGCTGGGATATGATAAATTCACCTTATACTGGAAACTGTCAATCAGCCTTAACTGTAAAGTCTGCTGCCTGCGATAGTTACAGTGTAGAGCTGGTACACAGACCTTGTCTCGGTGGGAATAAGAGCTTACCCAGAACTTGGTTGTTCTTCCTTAGAGTGAGTGCAGATACAGTAGTGACTTGGACAGGAGTCATAGAATCACAGGAGCACTGTTTGGAAGGGACCTCTAGGAGCCTATGGTCCAACCTCTCCTGCTCAAGTCTTGCTCATGCTACATCAGTTTGGCCAGGGCTTTCTCTAGCTGAGATGCAAGAAGTTGGACCCGATTTCTAATGAAGGAATAAAAAGAAGAAACAGCAAAAGGTAATTTGGTGGAGAACATGATGTGCAGTCTTACCCTGTTCATGTTGGATGGGCACTGCAGCAAGGAAATGCAGGAGAGAAAGTCCTCCTCTGCACACCTGTGCAGCTGATGGGTCTCTGTGGATTCGAAATACAGCCTCCTCACACATGGCTGATCCCACACTGGTTTCCTGTTTTGGAAATGTACATGCAGGCGTGTCAGGTGCAGTGGGGTGAATCTGGAGGAAATCTCTCTTCTCTGTCATGTTTTTTCTGAGGTAGGAGGGTGTGGAACTTGCTTCCCGTATCTCCTGCTTGTGTTTGGGTGGGATTCATCTGGGTACAGATGGAGGAGCATGGTATTTTGGCCAGAAGGGACTGAATGAGTACAGAAAGAGTCAGAGATCTATGTAAATGAGGGCAGCCCGTGATGCTACTGCGGCTGTGGTTGAGTAGTTTCTTCTTTGGTCACAGTCTGTTTTAGAAACATGCATTTTCTGGGAATCCCCACTGTCTGCATGATCACCTGTCTTTTTACAATCTTTGTATATCTGAATCTGTAGTGAGGCTTCTTACAGGCTCTATTTCCTGCCCCTAGCCACTGAGGAGGAGGTTTTGTTAATTTTCATTGCTTGGACTGGGAGTAAGTATGCCCTGCAATTTTTCTGGTCCAGAAACACAGTTCTGTTTTCTCTTAAGCTTTGTGCATCTGATTCTCTAAATTATGAAAAAATTATGAAAAATAATTTAAAATTAATTTTGTGCTTCTATTTGTATTCTTAAAGTTTGGGTCTTTTTGATTAAGATCACTTACGATTAAAAGATAACGTGAATCACTTTTCAGTAACCAGAAGCTTCATGTGTACATCACTGTTGCAGTAGCTGTATAGCTTGGGCCACACTATTCATGCTGGTTTCTGCAAGTGCTGTTGGAAGATAAGCAGAGTACTAATTTGCTAGCCAGTGATTTACTTGGGTCTTACATAAAAGCTGTGTTTGTATAAAAATTAGACATTGTTAAAGTGTTGATTTTGTTACTCAGGCTACGACATCTTCAGTGTATTAGAAGGAGAGAAAAAACAGAGGTATGAAAACACACAGAGTTTAAACAAAACATCATGTACCAAATAGCATGTACCCAGTTTTCAAGGCATTCAGATACATCAACTATCTATAAAGAGTCCATCCCATTACGTATCTGTCTGCATAAATTAATAGAGGTAGGCTGTGAAAACTCCTGGGGGGAATTAGTGACTGTTGAAAGATGCTTTGATTGGGTTTACTTTGTACTTAATTAGTGACTGTTGAAAGATGCTTTGGTAACTTTTTCTTTGTATTTATGACCATTTCTATACACCCAAACTTTTGAAATCTGGCTGTTGGGGAGGTCAAGGTCTTAAGTAGGTGGCGGCTTTTCTCTTGTGGCTCTGACTTCTAGACTGACACAGCAAAATGCGCTGTCTTGGCTTTTCGAATCTTTTTCGAGACTCAGTGCAGAATATGCTCTCAGCCTGTGAGGTGTACAGAAATCAGAAGTAATTCAACCAAAAGCTGTTTCAGCTTCAAGAGAATTTCAGTCGAAGAGAATTCTTGAAAGCTCCCAAGTTTGCATCCCACCATTCAGGTGACTATATAGAAGTGTCTATGCAGTATAAAGTAGTATGCAGCTTCTTGATAAACTGAGTTGCCCAGATGATCAAATATGACATCTTCCAGTTCCAGGTGTGGTTTGAAATACCAGCTCCTTAAAATTTGAGACAGTCAAATTGGCACTAGCTATTTACATTATTGAATAGGTTGGCGGTAAGTACCTGCCTTAGTGTAGGCACTTTTAATGTCAGGCTTTTTTGATTTCTGCAGAATCAGTGATTTCTAATGTTAACAAAAAAAAATAAGTAAAATAAAGGCCTTATGTGTGTTTTCTTTCCTTGCCTTCCCTCTGGCTGTGCGGGCTCCCCCAGGGGATGATGATCTGGAGGCACTGAAAGCCAAGAACATCAAGCAGACAGAGCTAGTGGCTGACCTGCGTGAGGCCATTCTGCAGGTGGCACGGCACTTCCAGTGTGTGGATCCCAAGAACTGCAGCATTGTGAGTGGGAACAGCTGGATCTGCACAGCTGCGTATTCCAGGCATGAGTGTTGGGCACCCACCATAGGCTGTTCACATGCTCCTGAAGCATAGGCTCAAGGAAGAACATGCCAGGTGTAATGGGTGGAGAGGGAGGGATGCTCGACCCATCCCTGGTGGAGGAAGGTTGTGTTGGGAGGTTGTCTGCCTCCTAGGAGCAGCAAAAGCTTTGGGAACAAGGGCACACAGGCTTTGGCCCATCAGCTGTGAGTCATCTGTTGCTTTTCATTCCACTTTGCTCTTCACCCACATGCATGTTAGGATCTGACTCCAGACTACAGCATGGAGAGCCACCAGCGGGACCACGAGAACTATGTGGCCTGTTCCCGCAACCGCCGCCGGCGAGCCAAGGCCCTGCTGGACTTTGAGCGACACGATGACGATGAGCTGGGCTTCCGCAAGAACGACATCATCACGGTACGTCAGCCTAGAGACGGGCACCAGGGCAGGACCATGCAGAACTGACTGGTTTGGGGTGCTGCACTGACCCTTCTGCAGGGAAAGAAGGGAGGAGATCAGCTTAGAGCCCACTTAGGAGTCCAAGGGAAGCAGCTGGTGTTTCTTGGAGTTGCCAGGGAATGAGGCAGTGTGTCCCTGTGAGTGTTGTCTTGTGGGTCGTTCTCAATGCAAACAAGAAGTCTCTTTCCTGGCTGCCACACAGCTGAGCAGAAGTCCCAGTTTAACGCTGCGCACTGAGCTGTGGTAAGCCTGCAAAAGCATCCATTTAGCTGTGGGTGTCCCATCTGAAACTGGGGAGAGCAGGTGAATTGTGTTTGCAGTAAGGCCCTGGGCCATGTGAGAACAGAACATTGGCAAACAGCTGAGAAGAAAGCTGTTCCTCATTGTGCGCGCACAGCCAGGTAGCTGCAGCCCTCCTGGCACTGCACTCTCTTTAACCAGTGTTTTCCACTCCCTGTTTTTCAGATTATTTCCCAGAAGGATGAGCACTGTTGGGTGGGAGAGCTGAACGGACTGAGAGGTGAGAGCAGGATGGGTTGCACTGGTGAGAGTGGTGCCAGGTGTGGAGCATCCATTCATCTGCAGCAACTGCTCTGGTGCCTTTGCAGCAAAGACTCTGGCAGTTACCCAGAGCATCTGGCAGGGACAAGGGAAATGTTAAAGCAGGGTATGAGAGCAGTAGTGCAGCTACCTGGCTACTTCTTACAAACAGCAACTTTAGGCTCCATCCTCCTGGTGCAGGGTGGTAGGGTGCATGTCATTTCTGCTGCTTGTGGGCAGTGTCCTGTACTTGGCTTCTTCATGCAGTTGCCTTAATTACTGTGATTTTCAGGTTACTCCTGTCCTTCTTTGAGATTGGACCATTCTTTTGGTACTGGACCCTTCTTTGAACTCTGATTTATTCTCAGCTCCCACTGGGCTCTGGTCTTGTCTGTGTAGGGGTCTCTCAGTGCCTATGTCAGGCTGACCTCTTTTTGTCCACTCTTTGTAGGTTGGTTTCCTGCAAAATTTGTGGAGATCCTGGATGAGCGGAGTAAAGAGGTAATTAAATTAAATTAAAAAAAACCGGAACACCACCACAACAACAACAACAAAACGCAACATTAAAAAAGAAGGGTAATGTCATAACTGAAAAACCATAGTTGAAAAGAGCTGTCTGTTTCCCTCCTGAGGTCTGTTTGCTCTCTTTGGCTGTTGAGCACTTGGTGATGTGATCAGGCAGCTTATCTTCCTAAGCGTGTTTCCACAACTTCCTCACGCTGACTGATTGGAGGATGAGGGCCCCAGGGGGCTGCAGGGCATAGTGAGTGTGACGCCTGGGCTTGCAAGGACCCTAGAGATGAACTTTGGGCAGGCTGAGAAAGCAGCAGGCAGGTATGCAGGAGGATCCCATGGGCAGTGTTTCTGCCAGCTCCCCTGTGCCTGTGCTCTCTTCCTTCCCTCTTTGAGGCTGTGCCTGTGGATCCTGCTCATGCTTTGAGGCCACTGCAGTGGATTCTCCCTGAGTAGCTGTGCCTAAGGGACACTGTCTTGGTTCCTCTCACAACCAGCAGTGGTGAGATGCCACCTGTCAGGAACAGATACCTCAGTATGGCCCCAAGAGTGGGGTAATGGATAAGGATACAAACATCATCAGCTATTGGCCTAGGCAATTTGCAGGGAAAGTGGAGAAGGCCCTGTTCCTTCCTCTCCTCAGCATTTAGAGAGTGAAGAAGGGCTCAAAGGCTGACCTGGGGCCCGCAGAAGAAGCCCCTAGAGAGTTTACTATTGACATCTCACTTGCTACCTTACCCCCTTCTCAGGGCTAGTTCCTTAGATGCAGATTACTTCTCTGTATATAAACACACCCTGTACTGCTGAGCAGTTCTCCTCCCAGCTGTGTAAATAGGATCCCACTCATCCTAATTTTGGGATACCCTTCATGGAACAGTGTGTCAGGGTGATACCTTGAAGTGACCCAGCTGACCGGGGAATTCCTACCTAGCCCCATTTGCCTTGACTTTTAGCAGCTAAAAATGTCCCAGAGACCCTCATTTCAAGTCCCTCTCCTTACCTTAGCTCAGTCAGCATCACACCAAACCACAACAGTTCCTACATGCTGAATGCTGCCAGGATGGTGCTCGGGTCACCTGTGTGGTCTCCTGGGTACCACATAGGCACAAAGGTCCTGGTGTCCCAGCAAATCCCCAGGGAGTAGCACTGGTGCCTTATGCCAGAGCCAGCAAGAGCATAAGGGGTTAAGGGTGGGGGGCCTCGTGGGCACCTGTGAGTGGAAGAGCTCTGTGCAGAGCTGCTGTTAGATGAGTGGCACGTCCATGCTCTGCCCCCTCGGCACCATGCTGAGAGCTGGCTCTTCGTGTTCCTCAGTACTCCATCGCTGGAGATGACTCGGTCACAGAAGGGGTGACGGACTTGGTGCGAGGAACACTCTGTCCAGCCTTGAAGTCCATATTTGAACATGGATTGAAGAAGCCATCTCTGCTGGGGGGGCCCTGCCACCCCTGGCTGTTCATTGAAGAGGTGAGATGTCTCAGCTGCCTTTGTGGGGCAGGGCTGCCAGAGGGCTGGGTTGAGGGGGCTGTAGGGTAGAGTGTACTGACTGTCCCTCCGCCCCACTAGGCTGCAAGCAGGGAAGTGGAACGTGACTTTGACTCTGTGTACTCTCGCCTTGTGCTCTGCAAGACTTACAGGTAAGGCCACTTAAGTCACACCAAGCAGCTGGGTCTGTGTCCTGCTCCTGTGCACTCATCAAACCACTGCTGTTCTCCACTTTGGGAAGGCTCATGGGCTGCCCCATCCTCCTGTGGGTGTAGTATCAGCAGGCTGCTGTGCCTGTGCTGACTTGGGGCTGGCAGTGGCTCTTGTCTCCTTCCCTGGACTCCTGTGTTTGCTTCTGGATCTGTATCTTGCTCTTTCACGGTTGTAGGATCATCTGTGGGCTCAGCAGTAGCAAGAAAGCTGTTAGGGTACAGAGGGAAAAGGCCTACGTGAGCTGCAGAGCTAGCTAGGTCTCTGCTATGATCTTTGCAGGCTTGATGAAGATGGCAAAGTCCTCACTCCAGAGGAGCTGCTTTACCGGGTAAGTGCTTCCCTCAGCCCAGCCAGAGCCCAGCTCCCAGTGTGGGGAAGTTCCGCATGGAGGCTGCGGGATCCCCATCTCTAGGGAGGTGCTCCAGCCTCACAGACCTTCTCTGGCCGGGAGTAGAGACACCAGGTGCCTGGGGCAAGGTGAAGCCACTGGGAGGTCTCGGCCCCTCTGGTGCTAGCTGGTGGCACCGGGTGAGGGTGCGGAGCTGTGCTGCTGAAGTGGCTGCCCTGCCCAGCCTAAGGCTCAGCTGAGGAAGTGGTAAAATCACATCTTCCCTCCCTGCAGGCGGTTCAGGCTGTGAACATGACACATGACGCTGCACATGCACAGATGGACGTGAAGCTTCGTTCCCTCATCTGTGTTGGTCTGAAGTGAGTCATCTGGTCGTGATACCCTAGGCATGGTGGGTGCAAGGAGCTTGGGAGGGGGCAGAGGGGGCTCAAAGGCAGCAGTTGTTTCAATCTATCTTAGGCCACGGGGTCTTTTTGCCCTCTCACTGCAGCCACAGAGTGAGACCTGCTCCTTGTTCGTGATGCTGGCCTGGCTCACGGCTGGAAGAAGTAGCTCTTACTGCATGGAGTGGCTCACACAAGTTTACTTGGGATAGCCTCTTCCCACTGGGGTTCTGGACTGTGGGTTGGGGTCAAGGCTTGGGCTGAAAACAGGCTATCCCAAAGGGATGGGGCTTCTTTCCCTGGCTTCAGCTGAGTAACATGCCTCTGCCCCACTGCTGCAGTGAGCAGGTGCTGCACTTGTGGCTGGAGGTGCTGTGCTCAAGCCTGCAGACCGTGGAGAAGTGGTTCCATCCCTGGTCATTCCTGCGCAGTCCCGGCTGGGTGCAGATCAAATGTGAGCTGAGGTAAGTGTCCCCATGGGCCTCGCCAGGGTCTGGCATGGATTTCCTCCTCCCCTGCAGGAGGTGGCCCTCACTCTGGCTGGCTTTGGGCCCTCTCCAGCGAGTAGCAGTGTGTGCTGCCCAGGCATCCCTGCTGCAGAGGTTTCCTTCTGTGTGCTGAGGCAGCAGCAACTGTCTAGACAGTTTAATGTGATGCAGGGTGCCTGCCTGGCCCAAGGGCTTGGCTGCTGCGTAGCTGTCTTGACAAGCAGGCAGCCTCTGCCTGCCAGCAGCCTCCTGCTGTGCCCTGCACCTCCTCTGATGGAGAAACTGCCTTTCCTACCCCCTGCTCTCCAGGTCCTCTGCTAGCCACCGTGAGTGCAAGCAAGGAACAGGGAATGTGGTGGAGAGACAGTGGCTGTCACTGGCCAGGAAGGTGTCCAGTCACTGGCTGACTCCTAGTTAAGTGAGGGAGTGATGTGAGGGGCTGAATGTGGCTTTAGTGCCTAGCTTGCATAAAGCACATCACCTGGAGCCCAGGGCACACATCACATGGCGTGCCTCTGGCCCTCCTGCATCTGCAAAGCCACATCCAGTCCCAGGGAGCCACAGAGCAGCCACCGTTACAGCCCTGTAACTGCTGCCATCCTGCAGGAACTGTCTCTTGTCCACGCCACCCCTCTGGCCCCAGTGGAAGCATCTGTAGCCAGGATGTGCACGCCTCGGGGTGCCCTGTCCTCCTTGTGCTGCTGATGAATGAGAGGAGTCCCCTCCATCTCTGTGCTGCGGGTGTCCTGCGGCTGCCTTCTCACAGCATGGGGGCAGTGCTAGTTCAGCACAGCCAAAGGACCAAGTGGGACCGATTCATGGCTGGGCTCGGGTTTGTGTGGAGCTGGAGCAGAGGCTGATGCTGCACTGCTCCCAGCCAGCTTCCGTGCAGAGCCTCGGCTCCCTCACTGCTTCAGGAGTCAGAGGAGACCCCCATGCAGGAGTTTCTCCTGAGCTGGAAGGACTGATGTGCTTGTTGCCAGGAGGTCTGAGCTCTGCATCCCTGTTCGAGGGACAGGGTTGAGGCTGTGCCTGCAGCCCCTTCTTAGAGTTGGGATCAGCGAGGGAGCTCTGTGTGTGACACTTGTGCATGGGAGTCAGTCCACTTCTCTAACTCCAGGAGGGACAGAGGGGAGCGCATGAACTCTTAAGTGCTACTCGCAGGGGTCTGCTTTCTGGAGAGGAACTTCCCTTTGCCAGCTGAGTGCAAGGTAGCAGCACCCGAGCCTGGCCGTGCTTCCCTGCGCTGCTGCATCAGGCTCTGTAGGGGTTGCACTTGAGTCAAATCTTCCAACTTCTCTTCCCAGCCTGGGCCTGGCAGGATGTGAAGCCCAAAGAGGAGGGGGGGAAAGAGGGGATGCATGGGTGGTGCTGCCCTTTCAACACAACAGACATGCCCGGGGGCAGCAGTTGTGGGTCCAGGCTGGGAGTGTGATCGGGGGGGCTGGGGGGTGTGTGTGTGTTTGTTACCATCATTCTCTTCCCGTTGCAGAGTCCTCTGCAAATTCGCCTTCATTTTTTTTCTGCCAATAAAGAGGGAGGTGAGTAGGTGACATCTCTCATTCTTTCCCTCAGCTGGGGGTTTCAGTTACTTTCTACCTCTCCCAGTTTTGTGCTCCAGCCTCTCCTGTGCCTCCTTTTGGGCCGGCACCAGAGGCTGTGGATGAGGCTGCTTTTCCTGCCAGGGCAGGCTGTGCACTGGGCCTGTGCTGCGATGCTGGCAGCAGGGACTGGGGGAAGTGGGGCAAGGCAGGCTCCTCCCTTCCCCAGTGCTGCCCAAACCACAGGGCCTCTCCCTGTTTCAGCTGTGTGGAGGTGGGAAGTGCAGGAGGCTGCTCTGTCTGGGTGCCACAGACACAGCCTCCCTTTTCTGGGTGGGGAGCACTGACCTGGGTCTCGGTGTTCTCCTGCAGGAGAAGGAGAAGAAGCCACTGAAGGAAGGGGTGCAGGACATGCTCGTGAAGCACCATCTCTTCAGCTGGGACATAGATGGGTGACCCCCACCCTGCCCCATCCCTGGGAAACCTTCTCAATGGCACACATTCCTCTCCCCCATCCCCATCATCTCGCCCCCTGCCCTCCCCTACCCCCCACTTGTATCTGTGACAGAATCCCCCTCGGGGGGCTGCCAGGACCCCTCGGGGGCCTGCCAGGCCACTGGGGCAGATGGCAGCAGCGCCCAGAGGCTGAGCTGCAGACTTGAGGGAGGTGATGGTCTAGGGCAATGCTGCAAAGGGACAAGTGTGTTCTGGCCACAAAAACAAGTGCCCCCTCCCTCCCTTCCTCCCAGCCTTCCCCATTTCTACCCCCATTTCATGTTTGCCTCAGCCCTGTCTCCCCCCAGTGCCTGGGGAGCAGCCTGGCCTAGGGCCCCTTGTGCACTGCCCCATGGGCCTGTAGCCATGGGGAAGAGACACAGCCCTTGTGGGGTGGCTTTGGTCCGTGAGAGCTGGTGCCCTTGGCAGGTGGCACTGAGGCTGCAAGTGGATTTGGGCTGGTGAAAGACTTATGGCTGTATGGGAGCAGGGATGGCACACCCCCCTGTGCCAGCCAAGGGCTCGCCTCTGCTGGGGAGAGGGATGGCAAATCCTGAAGCTCTTGGACAAGTTCCTCTGACCTGCAGCCAGGGTTGAGAAGGGACAACCAGCATCAGCCTCATCCCACCTCCCTGGCACTGGCGTGTGGGGTGTTGACAAGAGGTGCCCGATGGCACTGGCCTGTTACCAGTGTGACAGCCTTAGGGGATGGGCCGTGTCTCCTCTGGGAGCAGACAAAAAAACACCTCTCCCCTAAACGAGTGTTTCTTGCTGTCATTTAGTCTCTAGGTGATTTTTACTGTTAACCAAAAAGCTATAAATGAACTCCAGGAATGTGTATATTTTGGCACCATTGTAGCTCAGGACGAGGTTCAGGTTGGAGCTGGCTCAGGGAGATGTAACTCGTTCTCCTTGCCCTGCGGTGGCAGTGGGGACGCAGGTCGGGAGTGGAGAATTGCTGCTTTGTGGTGGTGGCTCTGGATATGGAGTCTGTGACTTTCTACTGAAAGCGCTTGTCTGTGAGCACAAACTACTCATGGAATGACACTAAGTTCTTACTTTCCTTTATTTGGTGGGTTTGTAAATAAACTTCATCTCGGGACAGTGCTGGGCTTTGGCTTTGGTTTTCTTTTGACAGTGCCAGGATGAGATTTAATTAATTCTTAATTTCTGCCCTTCTTTTTGATAATTATGACCCCATTTCTGCACTGACTCCGTCAGCGTCAAGCTGAGGTCTCTGTTCAGCCTTGGCACTTTGCGGGGCTCTTCGCTGTCCTTGCATCAGAGCAGTGGCTGGGGCAGGAGCAGTTGTGCTGCCAGCAATGGCCTTTCCACCATCCATACTCCTTGAAGCACAGCTCTGCTGCAGAGCCCCAGAAGAGCGAGAAATGCTCACACCTAGAGGGTGTACGGACACTGCAGGAGGAGGGCCCATAGCAAAGGAGCAGGGCTGGCAGAAAGCAGGGCTGGGCAGTGGTGGATAGCAGCATTGTCTGTGCAGCAACCAGTTACTCCACAAAAAACAGGTGGAGTCTTGGCTGCTCGGTGGGATGGTAACGGCCCAGGGCCTGGGACAACTGGGCAGAAGCCCACGTTCATGGGAGGGTGGAAATTGCAGCATGTTTACTGATGTGAAAATGAGTGGTTTCAGGCAAGGTAACTGGATCTGATGGATGGACCACTCGGTGGAAAATAAATTGTCTGGATGGTCGAACTCCAAGAGTTGCAGTCAATGGCTTGATGTCCAAGTGGAGACCAGCGGTGAGTAGCGTCCCTCAGGGGCTGGTACTGGGACCAGTGCTGTTCAGCATCTTTGTTAGTGACACAGACAGTGGGATTGAGTGTGCCGTTGGCATGTTTGCGTGATGCAGTTGGCAAGCTGGAGGGAAGGGATGCCATCCAGAGGGAGCTGGACAGGCTGGAGAGGTGGGCCAGATAATGGATGCTCAGAGGGCTGGAGCACCTCTCCTGTGAAGACAGGCTGAGGGTTGGGCTTGTTCAGCCTGGAAAAGAGAAGGCTCCTTAAGGGGAGACCTTAGAGCAGCTCCAGGGCCTAAAGGGGCTACAAGAAATCTGGAGAGGGGCTTTTTACAAGGGAATGTAGTGACAGGACAAGAGAGAATTGCTTTGAACTGACAGAGGGAGATTGAGATTAAAGGATTAAGTTATTTACTATGAGGATGATGAGGCGCTGGCACAGGTTCCCCAGAGAAGCTGTGGCTGCCCCATCTCTTGCAGTGTTCAAAGCCCTGTTGGATG